CCCCCCCCCCCCCCCCCCCATTACAGACCATAGTAACGGAGAAAGAGAACATTGCAGACATATCCCCCCCCCCTCTCCCCCCATTACAGACCTTAGTAATTAAGGATAACAAGCGTCAGACTTTCAATTTTTTTTGAAAAATTGATCAAGTTATAATTTTGAAAGATAATCAACATCAGTGTTAGTGAGCTGATTAATATATATAATAGTGCATAAGATCTTCTGTATATATCATGGATATGTGAAACAGATTTGTTTGCTGATTAATTTAATGATTATAATAATAAGAATGTTGAATTACGAAAAATGAATTAAAAAGAATGAAAGATAATGAGCGAATAGCAACAATGCAAAATAAAAATAGGGCGCTCTGAAACAAAAAAAAAATTTCTGTTTTAAATGAAGAAATAAATAACAAAGTGTCGCTCTTGTTATTGACTATCAATGAAAATAACTACAGTGTACACGGAATTTTTCAGTTTACATATGATGTATTAGAATATTAAGGTTTAAGGATATATGTGAGTTCCACATTTCAGCTCCGCAGGAGCTGCGCTAACAAGCTTTTCTAGTCATTTTGTTGTTATAGTCAACTGTTTTTCTTTATTTGAACTCTTTCCTATTTCTATTATTAGTTTGTTTTTCTGTTTTCAAAAAAAAAAATGTTCTCTATTGTTATACGATCTCGTTCTTTTTTTTGTTATATTGTTACATGTTATTGTTCATCGTGTGGGGACACACGTTTTCATTTTTGGGGGGTCGACTGTTACGGGCTACCTCACAGATATCATATTTTGTTATTCTCTATTGTTATTTTCTTTTTCTTTTTCTCTTTTCTTTTCCACTATTCATATATATATATATATTGTTTCCCTGGATAGTCATGGTGATATATGTATATATAAGGGCATGATATGGGTTATATGAATGCACTTATTTTCCCTTTGAAATAAAGATTCAACATCAAGGACATTCTATATACATATCTATTCTCTTTTTGGAAATAACCCCTAATAGCACCAGACGATCTTACCGATGAAATTCTATTTGATTCTCAAAACGACGCTGTTAGCGATGATGATGAAAATATATTAAATTCAACAAAATCAGATTTGAATGAAGTAAGAATAGTTGATAATATTAATCCGACTCTAAGACAATTGTATTTCAAGGTCAAAATAAATAACAATATTAAGTATCTTCATAAACAATCGGCCTGCTGACTGCAATCAAACCAGATAACGAAATTATCAAGTGATCGTTTATCTCCTGTCATGCAACAAACATCTGATCATAACTACTAAACTTATTGCTCTCATTTTTTCTGTTTTACTAGCGATTACTCTTGTTAGAAGTAAATAAACTAATCGTTCATATTTTTCCAACATTATTTAATTTTGTTCTATATATATCCAGAACTTTGAGAATACTTTAAAGTACTTTCGCGTAATTTTAAGTACTTTTGTCGTAATTTTAGCTACTTTGGCGTAATTTAAAAGTACTTTGGGCTACTTTGAGCGACTTTACCTACTTTATGCTACTTTACGCTACTTTAAGCTACTTTGAAGTACTTTTTGTACTTTACTGTACTTTTCTACTTCAAGTCTGCCGTTTCCCCCTTGCCTTAAAGGCATCATGCATATTGTGCGTATTATAGCCGCGAGACGTATTGTTCTAACCGTTATTGCCATGGTGCACCATATGAGCAAAGCGTCCAATATGATGATTACGATGGTTATGCCCACTATACCCATTACGCACATTATGCACGTTGTGACCATTATGACTATTACGGTCATCACGACCACTGTGCATATTATGCCTACCATGGCCATTATGCCGATTATACCTATTAGACCCGTCAGGCCCAATATGCACAATATGTCCATTACATCCATTACCCACATCATGTACAATAGGCCTACAAGGACCGATCTATTCATCAGAAACATTATGTTCGTTATGCAGTTTATGGCCATTATACCGATTATCCTCATTATGCCCATTTAGCCCAATATGCGCATTATGCCCACTATATCCATTACCCACATCATGTCCAATAGGCCCACTAGTGCCGTTCTACCCATTACAAACATTATTCTCGTTACGCAGTTTATGCCCATTATGCCCATTATCCCCCTTGTGCACATTATCCACATTATGGCCATTATCCACGACATGCCCTTTGTATCCAGTATGCCCACTCTTCCGATTATGGCCCTTACAACAATTGTGGCAATAATACATATTATGTACATTACCCCGATTAGACCCATTATCTACATTATTTCCATTATGGCCATTATGGGCATTGTACACATTATGACCGTTCCGCACCTTATATCCGTGATGTCTAATTTGCAAACTATGCTGATTAGGTACGTAATACCCATTATGCCCGTTATGGACGTTGCGGCTGGTATGGCCGTTTTATCCATTATCCCCGTGGTGCCTATTATGAGAAATGTGGCAATTATGGCCATTATGCGTATCGTGCTCATTATGACCATTGTGTCCGTTACGGTGATTACAGCGAGTACGGCAATGATGGCCATTATTCTTTTATCCATACAATGCCAATTATGGCAGTAATACCTAAGAAGCCCGTTATATATATTGTATCGCTTATCGCCATTTTGTCCTTTCTGCAAGTTATGGCCATTATGGTTATTGGACCCACTGTGTCTAATACGTTTATTTTGGTCATTACATCCATGGTCGGCGTTGAGCTCAAAATGCACAATATGGCTACTGTGACCATAATCGATATTTTGATAATTAAATACAGTATGACAATCATTGTCACTCTGCCCTTTATGGCGATTACGCACATTATACCCATTATGCTCACTATAGCCATTATATCCCGTATACGCATTATGGCCATTAAGCGTGTTGTGGGCATTAAGGCCATTAAGCCTTTAATGGTCATTGACCCGATCATGCTACTTGTGGATATTATCGGCTTTATGCTCATGCGCATTTTACGCCCATTACGCATATTGTGCCGTTCATGCCTATCACGTGCAAAATGTCTCCTATCATCATTATGTCCTTTATGAGCATTATCACCATTCGACCCATTATGCATATTATATACATTGCGGTAAACATACCGATTACGGCCACCGCACCAACCATGAGCATTGTAGCGATTACGTTCTTGATGCTCACAGTCTCAGTTTCCTCCAATATCAACATAATGGCCAGTATGGCCATTGTGATTATTGCGGCGATTTCGCACAGTTTGGATATTATGCCTGTTGTTCGTATGTTACCCCGATTAAGCCCATTATGGTCGTTATGTATATTATGGCCATGATACCCATTATGCTGTTAATGCTAATGATGTACTTAATGTCCATTATATCTATTATGACTATTATCGCTGTTAGGAGTACTATGCGATTTTTGCTCACTATAACCATGGTGCACATTACACCCATTATGCGCTTTATGCTCGTTTTGCCCTTAATGCGCGTTATAGTCATTACAGACATTTAGCGTATTATCAGTATTATGCCCATTGTGCACATAATACTGGTTATGGGCGTTGTAGTCGTTACCGCTATCATGCCCGTTCTGCTCATAATGACCGGTGTGGTCGTTGTGTCCATGATGGTGATTTGCCCATGATGCACATTATGGCTCTTATACCCATTGTTTTCTTTATGTCCAATATGCCCTTTATGCCGATTATGTCCATTATGCTCAGTATGCGTATGATGTCCGTTATGCGCATTACATCCATTCTAACATTTTTGGCCATAACGTTCATTTTTTTGTGTTGTAACCGTCGGGCCAATTCTTGTCTATTGTGTCCTCGATGCTCATTATGCTCATTATGCCCATTGTAGGTATTCTGCTGTTGATGTCCGTTCTACCCATTATGCGCCTTTCGCGCATTATTGTCGTTACCACGAATGTTCCCATTTATGCTCAGTATAGCCATTATGCACATTACGCGCACGATACCCATGATACTTATTATGCACATTACGCGCACAATGACCATGTTGCCTATTATGCGCTTGTTCTCTTGAACTACCAACACTTTCAACATCAACATCTCCATTTCTATATGATCCTTATGAGTCTTATGATTGGGAATGTTGATCTGTCTTGCATACAGATTCGTATATAATTTTTGTGTTGTGTGAATATAGTGAATATATGTGTCTGTTTGTCTATAATTCAAAATGTATCTATCTAAAGAAATATTGATACTGATCAATGAAGTATAGCTTATTTGTGTTGTCTGATAAAATTCAATTTACAATTTCCTTGTCAGATCAGAGATCATCGTTATATTATTGTATAACGGCTAAGATGAACTTGGGTAAAATAATTTCATATGAATAATTTGTTTTTTTAAGCAACATTATAAAATATCGAAATAGGATTGTTAAGAATCATTGATTGAAATAGAATAACTATAGGAATTCGTTGTGTTTCCTAGATTATTATTACAAGATTTATCTATTAACAAGTTTATTTTTGCTTTTCGTGATGAATAATAAAGAGAAAAAAAAATGAAGAGCATCAAACATTAGTGAAATTGAATCGACCAAGAACATTAAATTTGGTAAATATTCTTTTGAAAATAAAGTGATTCTAATTGATCATTCGCATTCTACATATATATAGGAAACACAAACAATGGATGTTAATATCAATGAAACAATAGAAGTCATTAATTTATGTACACCCAATATAGATATCAATCACATTTCGATTGTACCGGTAGTCTTACAAAATAGATCAATATCAAACACAAGTAACGCGACGCAAACGTCGCTAACCCTCTACTGAAAGGATGTGATTTCCTTGAACATATGGTACTCACGAAGAAGAAGATTACAGAACTAATGTGCTGCTATGCATCTATAAAAAGATAAATAGTTCTCGTCACCATGACCCGCTTGCTAATTGATTGGATTTGATTTAACCATCGTGGGGTGTGGATGTGTGTGGGTGTGTGGGTGTGGGGCGTGTGTGTGTGGAGTGTGGGATGTGTATGGGTGTGGGGTGTGGGTATGGGGTGTGGGCGTGTGTCTTCACTTTATCCATACTCAGACACACCCCACATCCACCCACCCACACCCCACGATGGTTAAATCAAACCCAATCAATTAGCAAGCGAGCCATGGTGACGAGAACTATTTATCTTTTTATAGATGCATAGCAGCACATTAGTTCTGTAATCTTCTTCTTCGTGAGTACCATATGTTCAAGGAAATCACATCCTTTCAGTAGAGGGTTAGCGACGTTTGCGTCGCGTTACTTGTTTTTTTGAACAACCTCATCGAATTTAAAGAGTTTAAATTAGTTGTGATAAAGAACATTCTTGAATTCTATCATTTTGAAAATAATCTGGGTAGAGGAACCTTAATATAGTTGAAGAATCAAAAAATAGATATTTTGAAAAATATTAGCCGCCTTTCAACACTAGATTTCTCTATAGCAAGCACCCTTAAATGATTTGCTAGACATTTAAATGTTGTACCGTCATCAGAAGCAGACCTCGAATTTCAGTGGCTTATCCTTGATTAAGTCTGATCAAGCTTAATACAGATATATGATCATATTCAGTTGTTTGGGATGTCATATTTTCTTATCTTGAACTCTGACTTTCCTGAATAAAACGGAGAGACAAACATGTATGGCTTTTTAAGTGGGATATGTATTACTATATGACTGTTTCTTTAAGAAAACGAAATTAGATGTCGTTTAGTTGTTTCCGTTTGTTCAGCGAGTTCAGTAGCATGACCAAGCGGCGACCACCCTAAATCAGAATAACTTGAAAAAAAAACATGTTTTTTTCAAAATTAAAGTATTGCGCACAGCTTCTTGAAACCTTTAGGACGGCACAACTACATCTATTTTTGCTTACGACACAACAAGCAAATAACGCCCTGCTAGCATTCACAAATCCTTTACTGGATAGGCTATATTACGTCAAATGTCTAATAAGGAATTATTTTGGTTCAAGTATCAGATCATTTGACAATTTCTGAAGGTGCCTCAACTTTCACTTATTATACTTACGATAAGCCTTCGAAATCAACGTCTAGTCGTTCGCATATATGGTTTATTTTTCTTCCTACCATTTGTCACATTAGTACCCTGATGCGCAGAAAAAATAGTTTACTCATGACGTATCGATAGATAATCAAAAATTTCCAACATTTAAATAATGTTGTGTACTTTTCGTCATAGTTTTCAACTTCTTTTTATTTTAACAAAATGATATGTTGCCGAATTTGTTTTCAAATCAGCATTAGTTAAGTTCTTCTGAGAATCTCCCTAAACCGCTTCAGACTCATTTCAAAATTATGCTCTAAAATAACCTTCTAAGTCAGCGTCTAGTCGTTCGTCGGCCTCCCTCCGGTCGGCCACTCACGACTAGCCGTGCCCATAGTTAACGCCATTAAATTGTTCGATATTACTTCAGGTTTGAAGCGAATAGATGCATCCTGTTTGAATTCCTTTCGAAAATTTACTGAGCATATGTTAATACCCTCATCAAGTAGAAACTAAAAAAAGAGAACTATTTATAAATTGCTACAAATAGAGTACATTACATTGTTGCTTAGAAAAGATTTTCGTCTATTTTAAATGTTATTTTACATTTGATGCCTACGAAGAGTCAATAAATGGACTTCAAGTGAACACTTCGTTTTCTACATATGTATGTATAAATCTTACCCAAAGACCTGGCGTTTTGTAATTAACAAGAAAAAATACTTATATTAAAAGCAATCTCGAGCATGAATTCGCGACCCTTGACTATCCTTAAGTCAAGCTTAAAATAACAAGGAATTCATTAAAAGAAGCTTAAAAAAGGCCAAAAAGACTTCGATTAACTTCGAATTCGCATTTTTCATGCTCGATAATGATCAGCCAAGTTTTATAGAAAACAATGATACATTAATTTATCATTAATTAATAACTGCCAATATTGGAAAGCTGAACTCAGATTTGCATTCCTCATAGCCGATTCTCTTCAGTAGAGTTTTACTGGAGACAGTTAATATTACTGACTATTACTTATTTGATAAAAACAACTGAGTTTTGACTTATCAATCTTGGATTAAACTTATTAAGAAAAGTATAAAACTAATTCCTAGTTGTTTATTAACTTGTTATTAAAATCACATTTGATTCAGATTCGCTATATTTTCCTTCGATTAATTTTCGTAGAGTTTTTTATAGACTATCAGAAGCTTTTGATATCAATCTAGCCGACACCGTTTTCGCATTGGCTAGGGTGCACAAATATACAGACAGACTTTAGAATCAGCCATACATGTAGAACTGCAAATTTATTGTATGTTATATCATCTCTCTCCTTCAATCTAAGAAAAAAATCATTATTTTCTTAAAAAAACCTTCTGCAGCCAAAAACTCATTTCAAAAACTTTTACGAAAACTCATGACGGACTCAGATTTCTCAATCTCTGACGTCTTTGGTCAAACCTTATAGCAAACAGTTTTTTTCGTAAAAAACTTTTTCCTTGTCTAGAAAGGTCTGTCTCAAAAACTAATCACGGATTCAGATTCGTCGACCTCGAAGACGTTTGTTCAAACTTTATAAAAAAAACGTCTTCTTTTACCAAAAAAATGATTTCAAACAATTTTCAAAACTAATACTACCAATCGATTCCTCGACCTCGGAAACGTTTGATCAAACTTTATAACAAAAACATTTTTTTTGCTAGAAAACCTCTCTTTTTCGTAAAAAACATCTATTTGAAAAAATTTTCAAAAACTAATGTCACCATTCGATTCCTTGACCCCAAAAACCCATGGTAAAGATTTTTACGATTTGTGAAACACTAGTCTAGTTGATATACGCATCTCTATTTTCTGATTGGTTAGGACAGACAGGCGGAGAGACGGACAGACAAACTTTAAGGATATTTGCCGACGTATAACCCTTTCTTTCAGAGAAAGGGAACAAACGTAAACCATAGTACCTGATAACAAATAAAAAAGAAATCTGATTGGCTGATTTGTCCCCCCCTCTAAAATCCCATTGGTTGAAACCACAATGTCAAAAAACCCTATTGGTCGAAATTCCAACGAAAAGTAACCTTATTGGGCCAAAGTGTGGGCCAAAGAAATCTGATTGGCTGATGTGCCCTCCCCCCAAATTCCATTGGTTGAAACCGTCATGTCAAGAAACCTTATTGGACGAAATCTCGACCAAAAATAACCTTACTGGGCCAAATTATAGGCTAAAGAAATCTGATTGGCTGATTTGCCTCCCTGCCTGATATCCCATTGGTTGAAACCGCAATGTCAAAAAACCTTATTGGTCGAAATTCCGACCAAAAGTAACTTTATTGGGCCAAAGTGTGGACCAAAGAAATCTGATTGGCTGATGTGCCCCCTCTCTGAAATCTCATTGGTTGAAATCGCAATGTCAAAAAACCCTATTGGTCGAAACTCCGACCAAAAGTAACCTTACTGGGCCGAATTACACAGTAAAGAAATCTGATTGGCTTATTTG